TTTAATGAGTAGCGTAGACGGATTAAACTTTATCCTGAGAATTGTTTTTTTTCTTTCTCCCTCTTTCAGCATCCCTACCCCTCCGAGGAACAGAAAAAACAACTCGCCTCCGACACCGGTCTGACAATTTTACAAGTAAATAACTGGTAAGTACAAAGCTGCGCGGTCACTTTATGTCATTACTTTTTTGCGACAGTAATTGCAGCAATTCAGGCTTGTTTCCGAGCAGGCCCAGGGCACGCGCTGCAAGTTCGTGATATTTTATGACAGGCAGAAAACCAGACAACCACAATGGCACACCAAAAGCGTTAATCATCGAGAAGTGGGCGTCCTCAGGAGACACTACCTATGCTGTCTGGCGTGTTGCGATATAACATGAACTCACAGAGTCGGCGGCACTCGTTGAGCTGCAAGTGGCAACTAGGTTTTGCCTGCCATGTCGTGTGTGCATGCGTGCGTGACAGGACATTCATCACTTTGTCGTCTTAATCAGCTAATTAATCGCTCCGCTGGAGGCGTTGAAAATTCGCAGAGTGGTGGAGAAAAAGACAGGCAATCACCGGGAGGGCACCGATACGTGAGACGTGGGGTTTTTCCAGAGAAGAGGAGGAAGGGACGGAGGGAGTGCGACTCAGGCCGGGCCTTGGGCACGGGAAGGAGAAGGAACTAACGTCCCCTGCACTGATTCACACTTCAAGTGAGTAAGGTTCGGAGATTGATGGGCAAGATAAAGTGATTTACATCGTAGCCTCATTCGATACGTCGAAGCCTCATTCAATACGCGAACGCGAACGTAGTGGACAAACAGGCAACCAGGCAATTGCTGATGAATGCTGACCGATCGCTAATGAAACTCACTCATCCCGCTCTACGTTGGGTCGCATTTCTCGGGCTCTGACAGCAGTCGCAGCGGCTAGGAGTCTAGGCGGGTATTGACTTAATGGTTTAACGTTAGACTTCTGATTGCAACTTCAAGCCTTGGGTGGTGCACCGCTTGGGGTTGGGTATGACCGGCTGACGACGGCCAATAAGCCAGAAATGACCATCCTAATCTCCCTTCTCTTTGCCGGCAATATCATCTACAACCAGACAAATTGATAAAGTATTCGCTGTGGACGTTTATGGCTCGAATGAGCTCAACTCAGTCGGACTCGGGCGTCGCAAAATCTGAAAGTGCCAAGGTGTTGATAGGCCTCTTTTTACGGATTCTTTGTACGGCTAAATTGAATTGATCGTCTGTCAGCTACAATAATATAACGATTTTGCAGAGCAAAAATGCGCGATCCGTCCCCGTGGCCAAGTTTAGCAGCAAACACTGCGATAGCTTATGTACGGGAGGCTGAGTCAAGTTATGCTGGCTGGATAATTTGGGGGTTTTTTCCATTCAGGCGCGAAGAGGGGGAGTCTCAACTGGACATGGAAGACCTCTTATTACCTATCTATTCTGTTCTGACCATGCCGACGAGGGCTTAGGTTAATTTAGGGTTGCGCTAATCTGATTTATGTGCCACAAAAGCTATCACTAGGCGGACTGAAACTGGCAGTGTAGCAGGGATTTATTATAATAACAACGATAGCAACAAAATAGCATGGTGAACAATATTCCGTCATTATTGCCCTCTCCCTTCATCCCAAAAGGCCTGACAACCATCCGTAAAACACAGATGCATAAAATTCCATAATTTTATCAAAATTTTCCCCATCTTGGGCCGCTACCTGTCACCTACAAGCCTGAAATACACTTCGGAATAAGAACAACCATATTAGGGTGCGAAAATAGGAACTGCGAATCGGTGCATCAGACATTTCCTAAATCTGCTGAGCTATGTG